GTGCGTGCGTGCGTGCGTGCGTGCGTGCGTGCGTGCGTGCGTGCGTGCGTGTGTGTGTGAGCAAGCTTTTTTTGATTCCCTCAGGCTTAGCGACTGCACAGCTGGCAGCAGGGTTCTGTGAGGCTGAAATGAAGTGTAGACATTAGAGCATTTACAAGTAGCAGAAAACAGGCACAGGAATAGATTGGTTCAACACACACACAAAGAATAAAAATTGGGACTTAAATCAATAAGAAAAGGATTCTGCACTTTAGATGGTTTGCTCTTCAGGCTGCTGCTTATTGATCCGTCACCTACAGTAAATGAATCAATTCACATGACATTTAATTGGTCCTAATTGTTGTGAAATTGCACAGTGACCACATTGTGTTGTGCCATTCTACTGTGAATATTTTTTTTCTTGAACTACACTTTAAATCTCCTGAAATCTCTGTCCTAATCTAAACATTGTCACAGTCGTCAGTGGGGGTTCTCCACATGTCGTGCACTTTTTAAATACCATCATTTGAAACAATACATGTATAGCAATCTGAGTAGATTACATCTACAGTGAGTATGGTTGTATGCTTCCTGTCTTTACCTCTATAAGCAATAGAGGGGATTATGAATGTCAACTGTTACTAGATTATGTCCGTCCCCCCCCCCCATCTATCTGCTTTGTTGTCATAAAACATCTCAACAATTATTTTTAGCTCAGCTTCACAATTTACTCTGAAAAAATGTTTATTAGATAGATTGTGTTAGTTTTTACACTAAAACGAACTGGTTGAGTCTTTAACGTTTAATGAAGTAACGTCAGCGTGTCTTTGTTTAGCTATTGATCTGAGCTGAGAATGAATCACTGCGGTCAGTTTAACTGGAAACCAAGTGGACTGTTAGTTAATCAATATTTGTTATTGCATGTCCACACATTTACAGAGTAACCACTCCTGCTGTCTCTAACTTCCCCTTTGTCTTTTGCTGCAGCAGCTAGACAAAAAGTTTACAAATCTTGCTCACTGTTTTTCCATCTTTATTTCCCCTTGTCTCCAGGCTAAAACGCTTCGTAAACTGATTCAGCAGACGTTCAAACAGGTTGCCAATCTTGACGACGAGCAGTGCATCCTGAAGTTCTTGGAGATACTCGCGCCAATTTACCGCTACGACAAGGAGTTCTTCAAATGTGCCCTCGGTGTAGGTTTCCTCCACTCTTTCCTTTCACGGTGTTTGTTAAATGTGTGAGGCTGACCCCTTTTGGTGACATCAGGTCCTGCACAGATCTGATGGTGTTCTCCCATCGTCTTTTTCTTTTAACTTCTATCCTGCTTTCCTTCAACAGTCCAGCTGGGTGATCCAGGTGGAGCTGGCCATCGGGCCAGAAGAAGGGATCAGTTACCTCACCGATAAGGGATCAACGGTGAGTTTTTGCTATAAACATAACACCAACTTGTATTTTGAGGGAAATCAGTTATTTATGATTACTGATAAAATGTGTTTTTTTTTTAATTTATTTAATTTTAAAAATGTTTGTGTTCTTCTGTGTCTCCAGCCTACACATTTAGCTAATTTTAACCAGGTCCAGTCCATCCAGTATTCAGCTATGGAGGAGAAAGACAGGAAGGGCATGCTGCAGCTGAATGTAGCCGGCGCTGCTGAGGTACTACATCGTTACACTATCTGTGATCTTTGCGGTTTTCATTGGATGTCAAATTCAGTTACCAAATGGGGCCAAAATAAAAAAATATATATTTCAAAGCAAGGGCCAGTTTCAGTTCATACATTAACTCCAGCCAGATACCTGACATCTTTTCTTGGTTGCAGGTTTTTCAGCAAGCGTTTGATCGGTCCTGTTTAATAGTCACCTTCACTTTTTTTTTTTTTTTTCAAAATACATCACAATCAAAGATTAGGTGAAATTTTTTTTCTTGTCTTCAAAGTTGGCCGGCTGTCAAAAAAAGACTGCTCAAAATTAAGTACACACAGTTTTAAAGTGAAATGAAAAGTAATAAAAATATTTCACTTTTAAAATATCACCTGCCTTGAGTTTGACGCATGCACTCTACAGGGTTGCTTTGTAGTACTTGTGTGTTTTTCTTTCATTGTAACATGTCCGTTGTGTATTTCTGTGTGTGCAGCCTCTTACGATAACGACAGCATCGCTTACCATGGCGGAGAACTTGGCAGACTTGATTGATGGCTACTGTCGTCTTGTCTCCATGGAAACGCACTCGTTCATTGTCAGAGTCCAGAAAGGTGAATTTCAAAGTTGGATTTTTCTACTTTTATTTCTGGTTTGCAAAAAACGTAATCTACTAGGGCTAAATCAGACCTCAAACATGCCTTAAAGGAAGAGTAGTTCATGTGACTTTATTCTTTATTTCAACATGTAACCAGTACTTTTTTAAGTGGTTAAACATGGAAAAAGTCCATGAATTTACAATAAATATTCATGGTAAAATGGTTATTTTGAACTTGTTTTGATCTGCTTTTGAATTTTTTTATGTACAGAAGTAAAAACTTCTAAAAATGTCTAAATCTAGCATTAACAATTTGCTAAAAACCCAACAAAGTGAAGTCAGGTCCTCTGGACGGTTTCTTTTTTTGTTGAGATGTTTCGTCCTTCATCCAAAGGACTTCATCAGTCTGAGGAGCCAGAACAAATTCAGTCCTACAAGCAGCACACTCACATAGTGGACCAAACAGTTTGCTGGAGATAAAATGGTTTCTGGGGCCCGCTCTCTCCCCCTTCGATTCCTCTGAGATTGTTGTGGCACCTCTGACTGATGAAGTCCTTTGGATGAAGGACAAAGCGTCTCAACAAAAAAAAGAATCTGTCCAGAGGACCTGACTTAACTTTGTTGGATTTTTTTTACATGGATTGCGCAAGAAAATTGATAATTTGCAGAAATTTGTAAAAAAAATCTTGTAGCTAATATAATATTTACATATTTAATACTTAAATATTTTATATGATTACAATTTAATATTAACCAAAGAGGTGTTGCTGTTGTCTTTTACGTTAGTGGTAATTAATACAAAAACTAGTTTTTGTTTATGTATTTTTTGTACTTAAACTTTGGAAAAACAACAGACAAGATAAACTGGTTTAAATATATGGGAATATTTTACAAAATATTCTTACAGCTGTGCTATTGTGAAACGTACCATTTAAAAAAATTTCTTCTACATCCTAAAGTTCATTATAACTTAAATTTAGTTTTGTTTATCCATCTGAATGTTCTGAGTTCAATTAGCTATGCCAGGTTTTTAGTTGTGCTTCGTGTAACAAGTCTTATTTATGGTCAGGCCTTGTTTTTAACCCCAATGTACATTTTTGTCCTCTAGAGGGAGAGAGAGCTCTGCCTTCCATCCCAAAGTAAGTACAGAAGTCTTCATGGTGCCAAAGATCATCATATTTATTGTCAAATATAACTCCAAAGATTAAGAATATGTTTGATTGTTGTACACAAAGGGTAGGGTGTAGCTTTCTGGGAACAAAAGCTGCAAATCTAATGATCTGCAAGTCATTGCATAAGGCTTTTATTTATCTTTCCCACAAAGTTCCAACTTTTCTAGTAAACAGATTGCAGTTTGACGGCAAAGAGTTAATTCGACGCACTTCGAACGTCAGCTTTTCTTGTGCTTACTTTTCATCTTAAATCTCCCCTGCTCTCCCTGTGTTTCTGGTCTAATAAGGAGATAAGTTTCTGAGCCAAATACTTTCCACTTTGGGATTTTTAAACACTTTAGACTCCTCCTTCCTCTGGCTTTGCTCTCAGCCTGCTCCCATCTGGGGTGTAAAGTTTGTAGTAGAGCTCAGCTGACACAGAAACAGAAACCACGGGAAGAGGATGAATAAACCAACAAGGATCATAGATGGTGGTAGTTTTTTGTGATATTTTCCTGTTTAAGAGATTAATTTGCTGGTATGATCTCTACATTTATGTGTTAAGAAAGTATTCATTTATTGTGGTAATTTCTCAGGTTTATTTATTTTTTCGTCTAGACTGTCTAATAATGAGAAAAAGTTAGAAGCAGTCAGGAGTGGAGTCCGAGCGATCTCTGTCTCAGGTAAGAAAAACAAAACAATGCCCACTAAAACAGTCTGGATACCTCTTTGGGTCAAGATGCGTTTAAGTTCATCCTTCTCTTTGTTGTCTTGTCCTAGACACTCCTAATACTGTTTGTTTCTGTCATTCCTCTCGTCTTTCTAACATCTCCCTCTGCTCTTCCTTCTCATCCACTCACTGCTGTTTTTTCCTCTCCGTGGCTTTTCGTATCCGCCCGATTGGCCGAAGTTCTAGTGACATCGACAGTTCCTAAGCCAACGAAGCCTTGGCGTTTCCTCCTCCCCTTTGTCTTCTGTTCAGATTCACCGCCCGCTGGTTTCCACAGCTCTTATTGGACAGCCAGCGGAGGAGTGTGGCCACAAAATTGTGATGTGGTGGAGTAAAAATTCTGATTCGGCAATCATGGTTACTGGACATAAAAGAGTCATAAACTTTGTTCTCATAAATTTTAGGGAAAGAGATGAGCTTCGTATTAGGAAAGTACATAAACATTTTGATTGATTTGAAGCATTCTCTTGTTAATTTATTCTGTTTTGGTATTAATGTTTGGAGTTTTCTGTTATAATGTTGAAAAGATTTTGTGAGTTAAACAGTTTAAGCTGCTGCATCACAATATGCCTTGATATGTGATGTGGAGACATAATGTTTTTTTTGTCCTTTCAGCTTGTTTATCTGACTTATTTAATGTTGCATAACTTTAAAGTAACCTGTAATTAACTCCTGAAAATAATCAATAAAATCTCTGAAGCAGAACTGAGTAAAAACATATGTTTTTGATGGACGACAGTAGTCTCTCGTTTATCGCGGGGGATCCTACCCTGAAGACCTGTGATAAGTGAAAAATCACGAAGTAATAAAAGTAGCACAAGTAGTAAGTAGTAGTTTATTTTAGTATTTATATAATAAGGCATTTTAAACCCTTCCCACACTCTTGCAATATTCTAAACAATGTTTCTAAACTCTAAATGCTCTAAAAGAGCACAGAATGTCATGATTTCAGCTCCCTGCCTCTGCTGCTCTCAGCCACCTGCAAGCGCTCTTGGCCACGCCCATTTCTATGCTCTGCTCAGAGAACAGCTGATCAGCTGCAGCAGGAAGTTTATCCTGCAGCATGGGCTGCACAAAGGTGTTAAATAATTGAAAATAATTCATTTTATATAAAAATTCCCTGCCGATTGTGCAGCTCATCCATCAATCAGCCAATTGTGTGTCATGTCCAATATTATTTTGAAAAACCGCGATTGAGCGAGTCCGCTATAAACGAACCGCGAAGTAGCGAGAGACTACTGTAGTTATAACTTTTCTTAAATATTATCAACTTTTTTTTAAAAATCTCACATTGGAGCATAAGTATTCACTTTCTTTTCTTTGTTTTGTCTAATTAGTAGTTCGCTATGAAGCAGAAAATTTGACTCCGCTCTTTACATGCCTCCTGCTTTGATCACTTTTGGTTGTTTTTGTTCTGTGTGTAAAATGTTTAATACGAGGAGGGAAGCTGTACATCCATTAAAATATCACTTTGTCTTGTTGAAATGCAGTGAAGTCTGCAGCGCCGCAGCTTTTAACAAAGCTCCTCTGGAATGTTTCGTAAGACTTTGATCTAATAGATGACTTTTTAGATGATGAGCTTGGAGCATAATTATTTCTGATGTATCTACATGCTGGTTGTGCGGCGTCCTTAAGAAGACGGTGTGTGACTTTGTGTCTCTGTCTGGAGCTTTGGCAGCTGTCATCAGCAGCTCAGAGTGAGTTGTGAATCTGGACATCAGCTGTGTCTTTATCGAAACTTTTTCCTGTTGGAGTCTCTGAACACAGTCATGAGTACCTTATTATCTCGTTGCTTGCAACTAGTTGCAACTGAATTTTGTGAGAAAATACGTATATTTTTCATGGCGGTCTCATTGAATTCAGAGCATTTGCGACCAAGTGACCAGCGACACTTTACAACTTATTTTTGTGTACACGGCTTGCGAAACAGAATTCTTGGCAGTGTACAATATTTTGTTGCTCATCTCCAACCACATCACATCCAACTTTTCCCTCTCTGTACCCACTTTTATTATTCTAGCAACAAGACTATGAGCTTCTGTAACTTCCATCCTTCCATCATCCTCCGCTTGTTCCTAAGTCGGGTCATGGGGACAGCAGCTTGAACAGGGAGGCCCTGACATCTCTTTCCACAGCCACCTCTTCCAGCTCTTCTTTTTTTTTCATTCAACCTTTATTTATACAGATAAATCACATTGAGCCTCGAAGACTCATTTACAAGTAAGATCTGTTTGGGAGGGTGCCGAGGTCGACCCAGGACAGCGCCAGAGAGAATCCAAGAGTCCTGAAATGATGACGCAATGTTTATTCAGCCGGGTCCCTCTGATAGGTCCTTCCTCTACTTCCTCGGTGGAGAACTTCTGGGAGGACCCCAAGACATTCCCAGGCCAACCGAGAGACATAGTCTCTTCAGCGTCTCCTGGGTCTTCCCCGGGGTCTCCTCCCAGTTGAACACACAAAGCACCTCCCTAGGGAGGTGCCCAGGAAGCATTCTTACCAGATGCCTGAACCACCTCAACTGGCTCCTTTCAACATGGAGGAGCAGCGGTTCTACCCCGAGTCTCTCTTGGATGACTGAACTTCTCACCCTATCTCTAAGGGAGAGTCCAACTACCCTACGGCAGAAACTCATTTCAACTACCTGTATCTGCGATCTCGTCCTTTCGGTCACTACCCACAGTACCCAGAGTTCGTGACCATAGTTGAGAGTAGGAACGTAGACTGACCAGTAAACACAACTTGGCTCCCTCTTCATCACAAGAGACTGGCACAGAGTCCACAATACTGCAGACACTGCACCAATCCATTTGTTATTCTCACGCTCCATTCTTTCCTCACTCGTGAACAAAACTCTGAGATGCTTAAACTCCTCCACTTGAGGCAGAACCTCACCCTCGACCCAAAGAGAGCAGTCCACTCTTTTCCAACTTATTTAACTTACGTGAGGAAACTGAGCAACCCTGCAAACGTGGCTCGACTTTCTGGAGTCTCCCTCACAAACCAGTTGCCAGCAGTTGCAGCTCAATCCATTAATACTTTTAAACATTTAAGATTTTAACTTTGAGTCATGGTGGTGGTAGAGCTCACATCATTAGCATGTTTGAAGTACATTTATTTCTGCAATTCAGCCTGAAGTTTATCCCTCATTTTGTGATCAGTCTGACTCAAAGAACATTATTTATTACCTTTAAAGCACAGATAATAGAATAAGTGAATCACTGCATGCAAGTGTTTCATTTTGGTTCCAGTGTGGATGTGAATACCCTCAAATTAAAGTAGTTTCCACTTTAAACCCATTTGATTATATAACTGTAAAAGTATTCAGTATGTTCAGTTAAAGGTTGGAGCTGATGGTGTCTACTCCACACATCTATCGCATTTTTAACTGTACACCTTTTTGTCAAAATAAGAGTTTGAATTTTAACTAACTGCTCATGAAGTTTTTCCTCCTGTGTTGTTTCAAAACTTGTCATGCTCTAACCTCCATTTTTTTTCTCCTTTTCTCTGCTTCCCTCTCTCCTCTCCCGCTGCCTGTCTCTTTCTGTCACTCTCCCTCTCTGCTGTCCCGTTTCCCGCATGCTATCCCGGACCTTGCAGAAGATCTTAGTGGGGATGGTAAAGTTACTCTGTTGTTTCTAAATCTCTGTTGGTCTTTCTTTCTTGTCCTGCCTCACCAGCACACTGCACCCTCCTGGGAAAGGGTAGTATGTGTATTTTGGTGTGTGGGTTGAAGCTGATGCTCGCATTCCTACTTCTTTAACGATTGCTCGGTCTGTTTGTGCTCGTATATTAATGCAATTTAAATAAGACCAAATAATTTAAGAATTTGAAGTAATCTTCAGAAGTTTAAATAACTTGTTTTAGCACTTACTTTTATGGCATTGTGTTTTAAGACCTCTGCATGTTTTTCTCATTAATGTTTGAAAGTGGATTCCCACAGAATGTAAATATGTCTGCTTTTAACCACAAGCACAATACAAGAAACAGAATTTGTAAATCAACAAATACTTCTCTTTAACCAAACTTCTGTAAAGCTTTCTCTCTCTCCACAAACACATTCAGAAAAATCGTGCATGCACGGTTTGTACACGGACAAAGTGAAGAAGGGAGAGTTGTGCTGGATTCAGGAGCGGGTGCATTCCTGGCTGTTACGAGCCAGCTAGATCACACAGTTACGAGCAAAACGCTCATATTCTATTTTCTGAAAGCTGACGAGACAACAGAGAAAGGCTCCTTTCTTTATAGAACATCAGCTGGATGATAGAAACAGTAGAACTAGTCAATCTTCCTAAAAATAACGTTTGTTTTACATGTTAGAGACCATATCGTCTTTTAAAGAATAATGTCAGAAAACTATGTTGAGAAAAAAAATGGAAATGCAGAAATTTTTTTAATTTGTTTAGACTTTTGGAAGTTTATGTTGGACATAACAACATTATTTTCTTCTTTTAAACAGCAAAAAGTTTAGCAATTATCTTCATTCCTTTTAAATTAATATTCAGGATGCATCTCATGAAATGGTCTCAAGTGATGCAGCCAGTATGACTACAGTAGTCCCTCGCTACTTGGTGGTTCGACTTCCGCAGACACACTGCTTCGCGGGTTTTCAGCACAAGAATGTACACAACACATGATTGGCTGATTGGAAGGCGACCAACCAGAGTATTGTGCATGAGGGGCAGTCTGGCCATCGGGTGCACCGGGACATTTCCCGGTGGCCTGGCCCGCTCAGTGATTGTCGAGGGGCTGGACCAAAGGCTCGGTTCAGGTCGCGCTTGATATTTTAAATAAACAATCCATGCCGCTCACTCGGGTATCTGCCTCACTGAAGCTCCCTGAGCAGTAGCCATGGGGAAAAACAGACCCCACCCCTGCCCTCTGTGACAGACAGCCTCAGAAAGAGAAAGGAGGGCGAGGGCTGGGGTCTGTCTTTCCCCATCGCTACTGCTCAGGGAGCTTGATACCTGAGTGAGCGACATGGATTGTTTATTTAAAATAATCAAGTTCAACCAGAACCGAGCCTTTGGTCCAGCTCCTCGGCAATCACTGAGCGGGCCAGGCCACCGGGAAATGTCCCGGTGCTCCCGATGGCCATTCCGCCCCCGGGCACTGATTGGCTCTGTAACGTAGCATCAGTCTGTCTGCTCTCTTTCGCTGTGCCGTTTTAGAGCGTTTAGAGAGTTTAGAACATTGCAAGAGTGTGGGAAGGGTCTGTAAAGCCTTTATAACGTCCCTACTTCGCTGATTTTCTTCTATCCCCGAGTTGTCTGGAATGTAACCCCCGCGATAAGTGAGGGCCAACTGTATTACTGTTTTTATTGACATCATCATTTATCTTATCCATCTGTTTTTCCCACCAAATACATAAAAAGTTACTTTCACTTTTGACCCTTTTTAGATTAAATGAACCTGTCACTAATTTTCCTATAAATTTACTGATGCGTTCTCACAGAACCTGATCATTCACAGGCTGAGCTGTGAGAGGAATGTTCAGGACAACAGATGTTTGGCTCTCGTTTCCAACAGCTGAGTTTGATTTTATTTTAAACGCCACCATCTGGTCAGGATAATCTCGGCCCATCTTTTCCGCCCTTTTCCTTTCTCCGGTTGGCTCTTTTTTCTGCCCGTTTGTCTTAACTTTTCACAGGTTTACTTCCACTCTTTGTTCTTCTACATCCTACAGGTTTTATTCTTTTTCTTTTCTTGATTCAGTTTTCCGTTTGTCTCTCGTTTCTCTTTGCTTTTTTTTTTGCCCGTCGTCCACTCCGCCTCTTCCTCCAGCAGAGTAACTCCTACAATCCAGCTGCTCTCTCATAGACAGATATTCACAACACATGCTCAGCTGACACTGTCCGCCAAGTGTTTGTGTGTGAGAAAAGAGCAGGCGGGAGGGGGGAGGACAGTGAGGAGCTACGTGGGTGTAATTTTGAGCAGGATTTGTTAAACATTAGCTTCATTTCAGTTTAATACACTTTTACTTTTGACTGGATTCAAATGTAATTTTTATACAAATTGCTTTTCTTGTATTTTTATATTTGTGTCTATTTGCAGAAACTGATGACTATGCAGAAATAGTTGATGAAGAGGACACGTACACCATGCCCTCCAGTAAGTAATTCATTTAATCTGTTCTGCTAAACTGAAAGCGTACTTCAGGAGTGCTAAAAATAAGGAGCTAGTCTCACTGTTATTACTCTGTCAGACGCTTCCATCCTCGAGCCAGCGTCCATTTCTTTTTGCTACCTAATAATCAGATTGTGGTGCGAGACATTTCCAGGAAGCACACTCGCTGGACAAGCAATAAGAGTTGCATTAAACCACATTTAGTTCTGTAATGGCAATCAAATTTAAGCCAGTTATTATGTTTTCTTTCTACCAGCAAGGACTCTGATTGAAAGCTACAAATCTGACTGCTCACATGTGGTTCATGGAGACGCATGACGTCTGTCAGATTCGTTCATGTGCCGCTGTTTGTAGTTCTGCTGGTAACTGCTGCTGGAGTCCCGTGCTCTTAATGTGGATGTTTTGGCCAGTACACCATGCTTATGGACTTAATTATGTGGCTAACTTTTAAAATGGACCATATTCTCCTTTCCGTGCAGTCTTTTTCCAGCTTTCTTGCTATACTTGTTTTTGTTTGTTTAGCTTTGCTTCTTGGGCTTTCCAATCGGAGTTTCTTCTATATTTTCCCACTGCATGCCCGACTTGTTTATGTCTTAATGTCACACTGTCTGCTGTTTGTGTACAATTATAATAGGCCCACAACAAAGCACTCCTACTCTTTTAATAAGTCTGTGGCAGAGTTTCAATGTATTTATTAACAGAGCTGCTGTGTGTAGTGTTTGCATGAGTGTTTTCAGAGCTTTTAAAAAATTTAAGTGGCTGTCTGGCTCTCCCCTCTCTCTTCATCTGTCTTTCTTCCTCTTTTTGTTTCCCCCTCGCCAACACAGTGGGCTATGGAGTAGTTGAAGGTAAAACTCCCCGTCTCTCTCATTATGTCCAAATGAGATGCTTTGAGTTTGTTTATGTGTAGGCCCTTCCGAAATTATTTAAGCCATTAGTGTGAAAAGTGTCCGGGTTTTTTTTTCTCATATTGCCTTATAGGTCTTATAAAATGGGGTTTGTCTGTGATAATTAACCAATGGTCCTCTACCCTTTTTTCTAAATTGGGTATAAGAATATGGCAGAGAATCAGTTCATAAACGAAGTAAAAAATCTCCTGCAGAAATCACAGACTGTGATTTGTGATTATTAAGTTTCTTTAGTTATATAAACTAAACTGGGTCACAGCATTTGGCTTGGTTCTTGTTGCCTAATCCTTTTGTCAAAACTGTATTTAAAAGCATTTTTTGATTTATGATCGTAGTTGAGTCAGCTGTGTGGTTTCTTTTACATTTGAATTAATAATTCATTCAAACTGCATTGCAGTTTGAATGAATTGTTGTAAATCATTTTAAAGGAACGTGTCTTGGTCTCTGGTAAAGTGGGCGGGGGAGCTGTCGATGCCTCTGGATGGTCGGTTCAGCTTTTGAAAACCTGAACAATATTAACTTTAAATTTCTAACAAAACCCTCCTAAGTCCAGTTCTTGTGCAGCTGATGTTCGTGCACCTCTGCACAAATGTTTGCGGACACTTTCAACGTAGCAGAACTCTTTACAGAGCAGAAATGCCAAATTAGTTTAAAATGTTGAGGAATGTTTTTGATTTAAAGAACTAGACACTTTTCTTTCTCATTCTTTTGAGCAAACTTCCTGGTTGCATACTGGTACAGACAAAGTACAGCTCAGTTCATTTGGTCATCAGACAGTAAAAAATATAAAATTCACTGCAATGAGGGGCCCACGCTTTGTTTGGAATAGATGTTAAAATGCACCAAGAACTCCAGGCTTTTATCGCAGTTAATTGTTTTATTAAGAGCTACTTTGGTAATGACTTCCCTGGAGACTGCTTTTCACTCATTCTACAGGAAATTAATAATAATATAATGCTGAAAATCTGGTTTGCATGTTTTTGAACATTTTTCTGCAGCTGCTTTATGTTCTGTTTAGTTTGTCTAAATGTGTGTTGCAGGATGCATGTGAGGTATACGTTAGTTTTAATTAAAGTGTGGAAACAATTTGCAAACTTTGGTCAAAATAAATGTGATTGTTATTTTCAGTGGACGAGGTTTAGCTAAAAAAAAAAAGACGATTTTACCTTCAGGTTTCTGTAAAATGAAAGCAATGACTTTACATCTTTTTTTGTTTTGTCTTTGTAAGCCTCTTCCCTGCGGTCCAAGAGAGGCATGTCAAATTTTTATCGTCCTTTCAGCGTTTCTAGTGTATTAAAAGCAGCAGCCGATTGCGCTTATTTCATTGTTTGCACTTCTTCTTCTCCTCCCTCTCAGCGCGGGACTACGAGATCCAGAGGGACCGGATCGAGTTAGGTCGCTGCATCGGAGAGGGTCAGTTTGGAGATGTCCACCAAGGAGTCTACAACAGCCCAGTACGTTGAGATCTACTCACAAACACAATGAGCATTGAGCTACCACGACATGTAGATTATGTAAAAGAAGAAAACTTCAAAAGGCTGGTTTCTCTTTCTAACTGAACTGGGTAATAGTTTATGTCTAAGTTGCCAGTTCATTATCTGGCAGGCAGAGATGTTGCTTCTTATTAGTTAACATCCACCTTAACCTTTTCTCCTTACTCTTACCGCCCTGTCGGCAGTCTGTGTTGCCATTTAGTCTGAAAGTGGAAGTTGTTCCTTCATCCGTGTTTTTTTAATTATATCCTCATCAGCACTCCGAGTCCATCCATATCCACATTCCTCATAACAATCTAGGAAAGAAAAGAGAAGACTTCCTTTTTGTTGCTCTTCCGTTGTTCCTCCCCTTCGTTCCACACCTCTCTTCTTCATTTCATTTTGACCTCTGGTCCTGTTCCAGGCTTTACTGGAGTTTTGTAATAACTCAGTCAGCTGCTCTCACTCAGATACTTTTCCTGTTAGTAGTTAGTCATAATAGATATCCAAAAGTTCCCGAAATACCAGGAAAAATCCTTTAAACAGTTCAGCATTTAAACTAGGGGTGCACGAGAAATCAGCCGATTTATCGTCCCAGATTTCCTTAATTTTGGGAAATTGGAGATCGGACGATACTTGCATAAGAAACCAATTTTACAGATTTATTTTTCTAGTTTTAACAACAATTGTCTGTACTTCATTTATATTTCAGAGCACTACCTCATGACCAGTTAAAACCAGTTTGTATTGTTTCTAGGATATTGTTCAAGGGTATGTTTCAATAAAATAAAGTTGGAAAATTGAAGGTGCGTTGTGACCTTATAACACCTGACAGTGTCGCTTATAAAACAAAAATCGGTATCGTCCAAAATCAGAATGGACAGCATTTCAACATATTCTATTTATCTGTTCAGTAAAAAAAAAATCACTTCAATGCACTTATTAATTAAATAATAAATTTCAGGTGTGTTTAAATAATATTTGAAATAGACTAGCTTGTTTTTTATGTGTTGCACAGGACAAGCCATCTCTCAATGTTGCCATTAAAACCTGTAAGAACTGCACCACAGACAGCGTCAGAGAAAAGTTTCTTCAAGAAGCCTGTAAGACCTAAATCTGTATTCTTCACACGTCACATTTCTGTTGTTAAATCCTATAAAGACTGAGTACCTGGCTTGTTTTACAGTAACGATGCGTCAGTTTGACCACCCTCACATCGTCAAGCTGATTGGAGTGATCACAGAGAACCCCGTGTGGATCATCATGGAGCTCTGTACTCTTGGAGAGGTACGACTCGGGCTGTGTTGGAGTTTGTGTTGCTTCCTGTTCCAACACTATGAAGAAACGAGGCATATTTAACACACCTTTACAAGTGTCTTTAGGAATTTTTCTGCCTTTTATCTGTCTTTATTTTTGCTTCTGTGCGTTTTATGTCGTATTTTTGTTTTGTAGTTGCGGTCATTCCTTCAGGTTAAGAAGTACAGCCTCAACTTGGCAACACTCATTCTGTACGCTCATCAGCTCAGCGCTGCGTTGGCCTATCTGGAGAGCAAACGCTTTGTACACAGGTAAATCTATGCACATATATGTGTATGTGTTAGATGTGTATGTATACATATATGTACCGGTAGGTTAATCATGAACGTAGTACTCCCTACCACCTTGTGCATGTGCATATTGTCTTTTTCCAAATGTATTCTGCTTCTTTATTAATAATTCTCTCTCTCTCTCCCATCCATCCATCCATTGCTTTACAACAAATCATTTTGTGTTCTTACTGGTTATGTATTTTTATTCTTTTATCTGAGGTACAACACTGTGTTTTGAGCTAATGGCCTGAACTACACATGCTAAACACAACCTTTTTCCTCCAAAACATGTTGCATTACATGCTTTGTTAGCGCACGATGTCCAAGACAAATTTCCCCTCGGGGACAATAAAGTATACATCTATCGATCTATCTATAACTTTTGCAGTTAGATTTTTTAACTCTGCAATGGAAAAAAATAGTGCTGTTTTAAGCAGGTACAAAAACATTTAACAATACAATCTTTGAGCACTGTGCACATATTTTAAGTATAATGAACACATGGCTAAGATGTTGTGTATAATTTTATGTTTTGTGGAACTAGAGGCCTAAGCTCAGATGTTGTGTGTTTGTAGAGACATCGCAGCGCGTAATGTGTTGGTTTCCACAGTCGACTGTGTGATGCTCGGAGACTTCGGTTTGTCTCGATACATGGAGGACAGCTCCTATTACAAAGGTAGTAAAACACATTCACGCATACTGTACATAGGAACCACACCTGAAATATCATGCTTTATGTTAAAGGTTTCCTGGTTTATTTGACTACAGTTAGAAGTCGATACAGTAACTCTTCTTGTTGTCTGTACTATACCACCATCTACTGGTGATTTTATGTAACTGCATTAAGTTTAACCAGCTTCGATCAAATCCGACATTATCTACCGGTAATTAAAATACATCACTCTCTTGTACTTTTGATAAACATATTTGTGTGTCTCAGCTTCTAAAGGTAAACTTCCTATTAAATGGATGGCTCCTGAATCTATCAACTTCAGAAGATTCACCTCAGCCAGCGATGTGTGGATGTTTGGTACGTTACTGTTCTGCTCAAACGCTGCTCATCAACAATCAGTATTTTCTCCCACCAGGTGTAGAATTGACACTCACCCAAGGTAAAATGCAAGGAGGTTTGTGGTTTGGTGGATAAAGAAATTAGATTGTTGGTTAATAAATTGGAAAGTGTCTTGTGTACCTTCTTTGTTCATGTTGTTTGGTACTTTTTTACTCTTTAAAAGCTGTGCTTAAAAGATGTTCATAGAATAAATGGAATAAATATTTTAGATTCAAACGTCTCGTTTTTATTGATGAATTTAAAATAATACGGTTAAAATGAGTTTGCATGCTAACAAAAGTGATACTTTTATTCAGAAAACATAAGATGTGTGTCTTTGAGAGAAAAAACGATTCATACAGGAGTACTGCTTTTAGTACATTATATTGTTTGTTGATTTATTTATTGTCTGTTTCTACCCCAAACATCTCCACCCGCTTGGTTTCCTCCGTAGGTGTGTGTATGTGGGAAATATTGATGTATGGCATCAAGCCCTTTCAGGGTGTGAAGAACAATGACGTGATCGGCAGGATAGAGAACGGCGAGCGGCTGGCGATGCCCCCCCAGTGTCCCCCCACTCTTTACAGCTTGATGACCAAATGCTGGTCGTACGACCCCAGCAAGAGGCCGCGGTTCACAGAACTCAAAACACAACTCAGGTAACACTTTTTACTACTGTATAGTATTGCTTTTCCATTTTTTTTATTAATTTCAGTATTTAAAATTTGCAGCTATTAGTCCACTTGTCAACACCGAGGAGTCAATTACTTATTAGACTAAATACCTATGATTTCTGTAGTACCATACTGGAGGAGGAGAAGCTCCAACAAGAGGAGAGACTTCGAATGGAGATGAGAAGACAAATCACAGTTCCCTGGGAATTTCCTGGGGCTTCTGATGAAGCTCCACCTAAAGTAAGAGTTGTCAAATGGGAATGAGCAGATTTCCTCATAAAAATATATCTTTTGTCACAATTTTTAAATATTTGCGGACCTTTTGAATGGCTGAATAACACTAACATACTTGTATGTGTGCTTGTAGCCAAGTCGACCAGGTTACCCCAGTCCTCGCACCAGTGAAGGCTTCTTTTCCAGCTCCCAGCACAACCACTTCCAGGTAAACAACACACAGACATGTAGACAAAGTCAGAAAGAGTTGTGTGAAAGAACTGAAGAAGACTGAAAGAGCTGGCTTATTTCTCTGAAGAGCAGAGCAGACAGCTGGCATTTCCTGTCATACTAAAAGCCACTCATTCATGGACACGCAGACACTAAATCAAAGACACACTTCAGCTCTTACAGCAATCGGCTGCTCTTCCATTAAAAAAAGACTGTTTATATTTATACTGCTGTTTAAGTCAAGCTTCGTTTGAGTGTAACTACAACTTACCGTATATTTTGGTCCGTGTTACACCTTTAATTGAGTTTTAAAGGTCATTTTAAGTGCTTAGAACAAGACCAAATAGTATAATTTTGCAAATAGAATGTTTTTTTCTTGGATAAAAAAAATACTTTCTCGCCCTTTTCAATTCAATTCAGTTTATTTATATAGCACCAAGTCAACTGACCTGCAACTATTTTCTCTAGAATTTTTTAGATGAAAGTTAGATTAGATATAGGTCTATAGTTGGCTAGGATTCCTGAGTCAAGGTTATGTTTCTTAAGTAAAGGTTTAATTACAGCAATCTTAAAATGCTGTGGTATGTAACCATTCATTAGAGACAAATAAAGCAGATCCAAAATGTGGCTATTAATTAAGGGAAATACGTCTTTAAATAGCCTGGTTGGGATGGGATCTAGCAGACATGTAGATGGTTTGGATGAAGCTATTATTTTTGACAATTCAGAGAGCTCAACAAGACAAAAACAGTCCAAACATAAATCAGGTTCTAGTGACATTTTTAAAGTTGCCTCATCTGACACGGAACCAGAGGTGATAGTAGGACAGTTGGTTTGAATTTTTTTTTCCCTAATTGAAATAATTTTATTTATAAAGAATCTCATGAAGACATCACTGTTTATAGTTGTAGGGATACATGAATCAACTGAGATGGGATTTTTTCATTAGACTATCTATGGTACTGAATTGAAGAGGAACCTGGGGTTATTTTTATTCTCACCAATTAAAGATGAATAATATAAAGTTCTAGCTTTACGGAGCACTTTTTTACAAGTTAGCAGACTATCTTGCCGAGATAAGTAAAGCATTTACTAATGATTGTTTACTGGTTGCATTTGTAAGAAAAGAAAGAGCTTTTTTTCCAAGAAAATTGATGCAGTTTTATATTTATTCTCAAGCTAGATATCAGTCAGCCTATTTTGAAAGATTATAATGTTCTTAATATAATTTATGCACATGTAGATTATTGTGCTGCTTATGTGACTACTCCACATTACATTATATTGTCATGTAAATTTGACAGCCAAAAAAAGGTGAGGACTCAAAAGAGAAGGGGCTTTATTGCTCATAAATAACTTTTATTGATCCTTCTGTTGATGCCTTTTCTCCTCTGTCGATCTTCGCACCTCCAGCCTCCAGCTCACGGTGGTGTAGGAGGAGTCGGAGGCAGCTACCCTCCCTCAGACTCCTGGAATCAGCACCGAACTGAACATACGACGCCGTGGAGCACGGAGGTACAAACACACACAGGCAGTTTGGACTGAGACAAACCACTAGAATGAAACATGATATTATTTTAGGAATGATGATGGTATATTCTCTTCAGAAATCTTGCCCAGCAACGTGTTTTACTCACAAAAACACTTGAAGCAAGAATATAAAGTTGTTGTGTAAAATCTGGATATGTGGGTGAAATTGTTGCGAGCATAAGCATCCTTTGTGGTAAATGATTCTCTTTTGATTAAAGCGAAGTTATTTCAAATTAGTGAAGAGTTAGGAATTAAAAATTAAAGTGAACGATCAATCGTCGTTACCTTAGAATGATAAGTCATTCAGCAGTAGTTTTTAATCTCCATCCAATTTCCACAGTTTATTAACTATCTGTAAAACAACCCATTTTCATCTTGAACAACCAGATCTCGCCTCAAGGTTGTCCCATGGACAACATGGGGTAGAGGCAGGGCAGCCGACTCGGGACCCGAAAGTCCCAGGTTCAATCCCCAGCCATTACCACATGTTGTGGTGTCTCTGAGCAAGACACCCAATCCCTAACTGCTCCCCAGGCACCTACATAACTGCCCACTGCTCCACCTGGGTGTATTCCAGGTGCAATGGGTTGAAATGCAGAGAACCAATTTTGCCTTTGTATGGGACAATGATGACAACACATAGCACTTTACTTTTACTAGGGTCATGTACACAGTCCTCTTTATGTGAAAACCTTTGAGAAGTGACTTGTATGTAGGAAAAAGCTCTCAAATGTGTGTTGGGGAGGGGGAGGGGTGTTTGGATGACTTCTAAGTGTAGATGAGAAAGAGAATGAGGAAGTTCCTCTCCAGCAGCTCCTGAGAGAGTCAGCCACTCAGGAGCTTGAACATTCCAAACAGTCCAAGATGGCCGACTGAGCTATAATAAACTTTGCATATCCTGCAATAAACTTATTAAATTCTTTTTTTTTTCTTGAAATGTTTTGCCTTCTTTATTGAAAAGGTTGCGAACAACCAGGTTCTGCGAAGACAACCTAGTAAATGTCCTTAACCGAGGGAAGTGTTCATGTTCATGTTCCTGCTGGTTCTGCAGGACAACGGGTGTGTCGGCCCATCTCTGATGGAGGATCGGCTGATGATGCAACAGCAGCAGATGGAGGACGACCAGCGGTGGCTGGAAGAAGAGGAGAGCCTCATGGTAACTGAAAACTCTGAGGTTTTCATCATAAAAACAAAGGATGAGGCTGATTATCAACACATGCACACAAACTTCTGTAGATCTGTAGCGTAGAGCTTAAAGGAGCTCCAGGTCAGGCAGGTCTTGGTGCAGGATGGTCACTCATGACCTCCTTTCAGTGACGATAAATCTTTGTTTTTTATTATTCAGATTGTAGAGGACAGAACAAAATGGATCAGCAAGAGTCAAAAACACCCAAATAAAAGCCTAAATAAACTCCATCGTTCAGTGGGAGCTTTTTCCAGCTCTGTAAAATCTTTCAGCGAGTCTTGTTGTTTCCAGAAGATCTTTTTCGATCTTTTGAACTCGCTCGGTCGTGCGTGTTTGATTTATCTCACCAGACACTGAAAACGTCCCAAAAAAAAGCAGCTTTTGCGTAACGCGTCTGTTTTTCCTCCTCTCTTCAGGTCAGGTTGTTTCTCTTGCTCTGATGATCTGAATTTAATGTTTTCAGCCAAATCATGGTTGAGTTGAAGAACGGAAGAGGAAAGAAATCAATGAAAAGTTCTCTTCCTCTAATGACTTCATCAGTTACTGAACCAAAAAAAACTCAGAACAGACTGAATTGTTCATATTTGGTGTAGATGCTGTTATTTCTTAATTTATTGTGTGAATGTTTAAGAAGCATTCACACTATTGTGATCCATTTTTCTTTAAGTTTTTCAGCATCTTTCTCGTTGCACTTTTTTTTTTTGTTGCTATTTCAACAAATCGTATATCAAAACATTCAGCTCATTCAGAAGGGTGCTATGACTTTTGGTATTTGTGCAACTTTAGCTTTTTGAAATATTTAGCCTTTTCTGCCATTTTTCTTCTCAGAAAATGAGTTTATCTCTTTTTACTTCCTTCAAATCTTTAGATCTGTTTACAACCTTTCACTGCTCCTTTCACATTTTGTTCAGGTTCAGCTTCTTTCAGCTTCCTTGTGCAAATTTAAACTTTTTTCAGCTAATTTCAGCAGTTTTTTCATCTTATGCTCCTTTCAACTTCTTTCTGTTAATTTCAAATATTTCTGCTATTTCAACTACTATGTAGCTGTTTTGTGCTAATTTGAGCTTTTTCAGCTTATTACACATTTTTTTGCACTCATTTAAACTTTTCTCCCCAATTCAGCAAAAATATGTGCTCTCTACTTCATGCTAGTAATTTAAGCTTCTTTCAGCTTTTTAGCTACTATTCAGCTGTTTTTTTTTATTTCAGATTTTTTCAGATAATTTCCACTTTTTTTGTGCACATTTCTGCTTCTTTCAGCAAGCATGTTCTTTCTGCTTTCTTCTGTTAATTTAAGCTTGTTCTACCTTTTCAGCTACATTTTTAGCATTTTTTTAGCTAATTTCAGCTGTTTTCAGAACAATTCAAGTTTTTCTCTGTAATTTCTGCTAATTTCAGCTTGTTGTGCTCCTTTCAGCCTTTTTCTGCTAGTTTCAGCTTTTTGCCATTTCAGCTGCTATTTAACAGTTTTTATGCAAATTTGAGCTTTTTCAGCTAATTCCACATTCTTTGAGCTCATTCTCAGCTCTTTCTACTTCCTTCTGTTGGGTTATGCTTCTTTCTGCCTTTTCAGCTCTTTTTCAGATGCTTGTTTTTGTTGTTGCCGATTTCAGCTTTTTTTTGCTTATTTCCTAATTTTGTGCTGATTTCTGATTAATTAAACCTAATTCAGCTATTTTTTTCTGCTTTATTCTGCTTATTTAGGCTTGTTCTTCCATTTCAACTATCGGGTACAATTCAGCATGTTTTTTTTTATTTTTTATAAAATAATTTCAACTGTTTTTCAGCAAGTTCTTCTGCATTAAGTATTCACACTGCATTTTTGCAGGACATGCAGTTTTTCTAGTTCCCCTAATTATGATTAACACGATATTTACTGGTAATTATTTAATGATTTCAGTCTTTGTTAGAAAGTTTAGTCATTTGTCACAGTCTCAGCACTTGACTCACTGGAGGAGAAATTACATTTCATTAACCTACAATTGACATAAAACTGAAAGAAATAGGTGGTTTTAATCGTAAAGGGACACTTTTGGAGTCTGATCAATAAATCTGGAAAACAAACAAAACATCATCAATCATCAGTTACAACACTTCTGATCTAAAACTGACAGCAAATCGTTTCTGAAGGCTTTTTTTGTTCATTCTAAACTACCGTCCACTCCTAATGCGTGTCTTTATAAATATAAAAAACTTCACCTTCACGCCGTAAACTTTTGACAAGCAAGAAAAGAAAAGTAAGAAAAACAAAATGTTTTATTAACAAATCTGGAAAGCTGCAGAAAGACTAAATTAAATATGTTGTTCAATTTTCCCTGAAATGATCAACATCAGCCTTTTTTAAAGTACTTTTAATAGTAATAATAATAAAAAAGTTGTTAATGATTTAAGAATATATGCAGCAAAAGTAGAGCAGAAAGCCTTTTGGTTGCAGTGAAAGACAAGAAAAGCAAAAAGACTCTTGAAAATGTGCTGGAAAGGACGGACGGACGGAGGGAGGAAGGAAGTGGGATTGGCAGCAGCTGTGGAGAGGGAGGAACGAGTGAGGAGTCTGAGATTCACAAAGATGGAAAGAGTGGGAGGGAGAATCAGCTGAAGGAGAGAAAAGGAGTGAAGCAGCTGAATCTTTTCTGTCTCTGCGGTTCAGTTGAGCTTTTCCTCCTCTGGAAAAACTTTCACTATCTGTCTCTCCTCTTTCCATTCCTCCGTTCTCTCACTCCTGGAGTTTTAAATCTTTTCCTCCTTACTTTTGCTCTTCTTTCGATGGCCTCTATGTTACATCGTTGGTCTTCTTCACGTTCTTTTCTCCCAGGATGCATCTCTTCAAGGCGTGCTTCACCAAAACGGTACCGAGCTGTTTTTAAGAGAGCGGAAAGTTTCACTGCTTCAGCCGTGATATAATTAGTCCGTGAGAAGGATTTCATTGAAGCGTTGTCGTTTCCCTGCTCGTTTGTTTTGAGTGCAGCTTATTTTGAAAACTGAATGACTTGTTTTTTACGTTTCTATCCAAATGCGAGCCTTATAAAACTAAATACGTGCAAACCAAAGGCAGTTTGTTACCAGTTTATTGCTAAACCACTTAGAAGAATGTGCATTTGTGAAATTCCTGCAGATGCACGGCTCAGTTTTGTTGTTTTCTGTGCAGAAAGCAGAATCCAGAAACAGCAGGGGAAGCATCGACAGAGAGGACGGCACACTACAAACTCCGGTCAGTCACTTCACCTGCCATCGAGCGAACATTTTGACTTCTCGGGTCAAACGGAGGCGAAACATAGTCGGGAAGTGGAGAGAATGGACGGTTTTATTGCAAACGGAGAGAAAAGGCAGACGGTGTGAAAAACTGGGAAAGTATTTCTGTTTCTGTGCCTTGAAGGGCACTGCCTACATACCAGCTACTTAACCACAGAGTGCCCAGGGGAGCTTTAAAACCAGAAGAACCGCACGTTTTCTATAAAACACAAATCTTCAGCCTGGTTTTCTCTCCACTGCTGGGGAGATACAAGGCAAACTCCGAGTGTACTTAAATATTATTAGCCTTCTTTACAAAATGAATTTCCTGTACCAGAGACTGTCTCATAGTACTGATCTGACAAAATATTGTTGGTTAACATCAAGTTTTATGATCTTTGTCTGCTCAGGGTGGAAGTCAGCACATCTATCAGCCTGTTGGGAAGCCAGGTGAGAAAAACTAACATCTTTAACTGGAAGTAGTCATCCTGCAGAAATACAAAGTGACAAGTAAAATGGTTGCTTATGACATTTGTAAGTTGTTATTTTTAATCTCGCTTTAGTTTATCATCTCTTTTAGCCATCCTTTAGTCATTTACACAATGTGAGTAACTGAAGTTGTAAAAATAAACATATTTAGCACAGTGCATATAGATGTGAGCCTTACGTGGCACATCATGGAAGCAAAAGAGAAATGATCAGTAAATAATGTATATTTAAATAGAATGTTCCCGGAGAAACTTTGACAGGGACTGACATGTTGCGGCCATTTTTTTATGTTGTGGTTCACTCTCAGCTACCGTCACACCAAATTTCAGCTCTATATGGCAAAAAAAATCAACGAGTTATAGTCCTTTTTTTTTCTTTTAAGCTATGGTAGCCATCTTGGATTTTTGATTTGGATTCAGTATGTGACGGGGAACGTTCTCAGCTACGACCAAACCAAATTTCAGCTCTGTATGTGTAAAAATAGCTGATTTAGAACACTTTAAAGTTAGCTTTGGGAGCCGTCTTGAATTTTTATTTGAAATCAAATTTATTGGGCGTTGCTCTCAACTACCACCACACCAAATGCCAGCTTAATATCTCTAAAAATGGCTGATTTATTGTATTTTTCCTTTTTTAGCTCAGGCGGCCATCTTGGAGTTTTAATTTGCATCAGGAATATTTAGCAACTCGCTCTCAGCTACGACCACACTAAATTTCAGCTCAATATCTCAAAGAATGACTGCGTTGTAGTCAATTTTGAGTTTTCTGAGGTAGCTGTGGTGGCCATCTTGAACCAAAATGGCTCCAAAAGTTAATCCGTGTTTTGTTCAGAGACCCCTCCACACTAGGTCATGTGACCTCACTGAAACATGGCGTCTTTGTTTGCAAATTATGTCGCCATGGTGACTCGAAACGCCATTAAAAGTAATAGCACGCATCACGGTGCCGAGCCGTATATAATGTTTGTGGGGGTACACGGTGCGGTTCGGGACGCATTAAAGTTGAAAGAAGAGCGAGACCCTTTTCATAAAGACAAAAATAATCAAACATCGTAAATAAAAGTTGAACAGTGTTTTTTTTTTTTTTTTCATGTTTTAAAATGATCAGTAACTCTTGACGTATTTTTTTTCTTGCAGAACATGTAGCCCCCCCTAAAAAGCCGCCCCGCCCCGGAGCTCCTGGTCAACTCGGCAACCTGTCGGGTCTCGGCGCTGTTGACAGCTACAATGACGGGGTGAAGGTTCGTATGAACACATGATGTCGGCACTCTCCAGTTTCATCCATGATTCCTGGTAAAGTTCTTTAAAATGAACATGATGAAAACTGCCATGTTTTATGGCTTAGTGTTGACGTTTACCACTGTAAATATTGCTGTTTTGTTTTTTTAATTTAGATATTTCCCATCATGCTTGTGGGTTTTATGCTGTCCCGTGCTTTGCTTTGTTTGGCTTTAGCCTAACGTTCTTCCTTTCTTCTCTCCCTCTTTTACAAACATTCCTTTAACACATTATTGTCACTTCTTTTCTTTTTTTCCCCACATCCTTATTTTCTTACCTGTTGCTCTGCACCCTCTTCAATCCGTCCCACTCTGTTCACCCCGTTCATTGCTCAATCTTAAATCTCTTCACTCTTGCCTCACTTTCACCCAAAACACAACTTCATGCTCCTCGTAGCCGTGGAGGGTAAGCAGATCCGTGTGTGTCTGTTCAAACTGTAGAGTTTAGTTCGCTTTTAGTTTCCATCGGCAAAACACTTTCATCCACGTTAGTTGTTTTTCTTCACCAGGAGCATCTCAAAGTTTAACCGAAAGAAGAAAAAAAAGTGGAACAGAAAATTGTTTGCAAGCAAAGTTAGGACTACCACTACTATGATAATGATCTGTTTCTGTCAGGCTGGTATGTTTATAGGCTTTGTTTCTTTTTGTAAAAGTATTTCTGGTGGAGAAAAACTTCAAAAGTGTCATAATACATAACAGATATATTGGTCATAGAAAGTACACTAAAGCTGTAGTGTCTGATGTCTCATAATTAGCTCCAGTAGATCAATTAGTCTAATGATTTAGTGCAATAAATTAATAATTAGTCTTAGATGTCGTCGACCAACATGCTGAGATTTCCTTTACTTCAGTTTAACGATTTTTGATCTTAAGAAAAAGAGTAAAAATTACAAAAATGAATTATAATCAAACCAGCATCGAGTGATTTTTTTTTTTTTTTCTTTAAATGACTGGTTTGAAAAAAACAAACTCGTATTAAAAATTAATGTTTTTTTTCATGGCAACTGTCTTCTTTGCAAATGTGAATCAGTTTTAAAAAGCCTCTGATTAAAATGTATAAGTGTAAAAATCACAAGCAGGTTGAACCTAACACTAACCTAACACTCATCTCATTAGAAAACTAGTTTTAACATCTAACGCATGTGAACAGTGAAGTTTTTATATTTGTATTTGCACATACTGCCACCTAGTGTTAGATCTGTGAAACTGCAGTCACTATTCAAAGAAAACCTGCAGTTTCAGCAACATTTATAGTTTTTTTTTTTCTACCTGATAATACGCTTTAAAATAAAAAAAAAATGTAGATGATTGTAACAATGCGACCAGCAGGAAAGCTAACTTGAATAGATGTACCTTAAAATTAAACTAAATCGTCTTTGCACTGTGGTTTATTCAGTTGCAACCGCAGGAGATCAGCCCACCACCGACCGCCAACTTGGACCGCTCCAACGACAAAGTGTACGAGAACGTGACGGGGCTGGTCAAAGCTGTGATCGAGATGTCCAACAGGATCCAGCCCGCTGCACCCGAGGAGTACGTCCCCATGGTGAAGGTAACGGTCCGTCGAACACGCGCCGATTCATTCACAGAGTGAACAGAAAGTGTGCTGAAAGTGAGCTGAAAGTGTGCTGAAAGTGTGCTGAAAGTGAGCTGAATGTGTGCTTTGCTTTGGTAGGAGGTGGGTCTGGCTCTGAGGACGCTGCTGGCAACAGTGGATGAAACGATCCCTGTGCTGCCCGCGAGCACACACAGAGAGGTACACACACACACACACACACCTGAGCACGCTGAGCTTGTTCTTACAGATCGGGTCGTTTGTTTTCTGTTTTCTAGAGACAATAAGTGCAAAGTAAAATGGCCGCCAGTTAAATAAAGACACAACGTAGGTCAGACTGATCATGTTCCGTAAACTGGAAAATAAACGTTTTATCATGAAACATGTTCAGTGTTTTATTTAGAGATTTTTATAAAAATGTATCTTACATTTAAACAGATGAGACTTAATCAGACAAAGTGGTGAATGTATCTGTACATGACTTTAGATGTGTTTTTGTGATCCATTTTCTTTCCGTACTTTTTTCCAGCATCTTTCTCGTTCCACAATTTTTGTGCTATTTCAACAAATCATTTACCAAAACGTTCAGCTCTTCGGGACAAATTCTATGACTTTTGGTATTGGTGCAAGGTGCAACTTTAGCTTTTTGGAATATTTAGCCTTTTCTGCCATTTTTTCCCCCTCAAAGGAAATGAATTGAGCTCATTTAACATCCTTCAGATCTTTAGATCTGTTTACAACCTTTTACTGCTCCTTTCACATTTTGTTCTGCTTCAGCTTCTTTCAGCAAATTTTAACTTTTTTCAGCTAATTTCAGCTGTTTTCAGCTGTTTAGTGAATCTTTTAGATTCTTTCTGTTAACTAAAACGTTTTTGTGCTTCTTGTCTTCTTCTAATTTCAGCGTGTTATGGGCAAACGTGTTCTTTCTGCTTTCTTGTGCTCATTTAAGCTTGTTCTACCTTTTCAGCTAGGTTTTTTGCATTTTTAGCTAATTTCAGCTGTTTTCAGATAAATTCAAATTTTTCATATACATTTCTGCTACTTTCAGACTAATTAACTTCTTTATGGTAATTTCATCTTGTTATGCGCCTTTCAGCTTTTTCTGCTCTTTCGGCTACTATTTAGTTCTTTCTATGCTAATTTTAGCTTTTTCAGCTAATGCCACATTGTTTAACTCATTCTAGTTCTTTCCACTTCCTTCTGGTAGTTTAAGCTTCTTTTTGCCTTTTCAGCTATATATTTTTTTTGGTAATTTCAACTTTTTTTTTTTAGCTAATTTGCTAAATTTTGTGCTAATTTCTGCTTATTTAAATCTAATTCAGCAAAAATGTGTTCTTTCTGCCTTCTGCTAATTTAGGCTTGTTCTTACATTTCAGCTACATTTCAGAACGTTTTTAGCTGATTTTAACTGTTTTTTTTCCATGAAGTTCTTCTGCAATAAGCATTCACACAATTTCTGTAGTTGGTCTTTGACGTCTTGACATTTTGGATCCTCTCAGATCGAAATGGCTCAGAAGCTGCTGAACTCAGATCTGGCAGAATTAATAGCGAAGATGAAGCTCGCTCAACAGTACGTCATGACGAGGTAAAGACGAGCTCAGCGTAAACGTTTCGGCTGTTAACAGCTGAAGTGAATTTGTGTTTAACACTGAAACTTGTCTTGTTTCTGGGACAGTTTACAAAAGGACTATAAGAAACAGATGCTGATGGCGGCTCACGCTCTGGCAGTGGACGCCAAGAACCTGCTGGACGTCATCGACCAATCACGGCTCAAAATGATCAACCAGATCCGCCCACATTAGTCCAGGAGCCGACCCAGCCGAAGCTGCAGGACAGGTTTAAAGTGTTTGAACGTTGGACGGACCTGTGAGCGGACGTCGTGTTGGACGTCAGCGACGGACGGACGAAGACGAGGAGCGGACGAAGAGCGAATGTGATTGAAACAATCAGCCCTCTGGAACTCATTCACAGCTTCATTTATTTTCTCCTCGACTTTTATTGACATTTAACTCGTCTTTTTTTTTAATGATTCTGAAAATCATCTACTGCTCCTGTTTAAATCCGAAGAAAACGGACTGAAGAGGCTGGGACACGTTAATAAAACTAACGACAGAAACTGGAATTGAAATTCCTTCTTGAAGACGATGATGACGAAGACGATTTTTACAGCGATGGACTTTTTAAACATGCTTTTTAAAAACTTTTAATTATTATTATTATTGTTACGGTTTTCTGCCTCGTCTTTCGCTGTGCGTCCGTTAAACTTTCAGTCTTCCTCCTGAACTTTGTATGAGCAAAGAAACATGAACTGCAGTACCGTCGTTGCATCTCATTTCTCCCTTTAAAGATCTCTATCTCAGGCAGATTTTTTTAAAACTCTTTTTATAGTGGACTAAAATAAATGCCACTTTTTAAGTTAATTTACATAAATATACACAGAAGCTCTATATTTAACACATTTCTGAGTTACAAGTTTTTAATAAACATGGACGTGAGGGAAGTTGGTTTTATGTTACAGAGAGGGGGAAAAAAATTCTATATTTTATATCGGATCATCTACGTTTATCTAAAGTGGACGGTTTAACGCCCAAATGAGGCTCGACACGAGATGTTTAGCAGCAGCTAAGCTGCAACGCTGTCAACATTTCATTCATAAACTTGAACATTGAAAACATTTCAACCATCTGTCATGTCAGCAGGAGGGCTCACCCTGCCCTTTTTTCTTTTTAGATGCATTCTTTTTGTCATTACTATTTTTTAAATCTATTTAAACTGGAGAACAGAAAGCCAATTTCATGTTTATGTTTTGCAGCTAATTGTAACCGGGCAAATATTAAGTTCAACGTTTACACCAGAAGAAACTTTCAACTTTTAAATAGAAATATTTGGATTAAGGGGATTGTAATGTAAAATATTTCTTATGCTCATCATGTTTTTCTGCCCCATTTCTCTACCTTCCTTCACTGGAGTTATTTATATATTTTATTGGTCTTGTGTTCCCTCCACGCTCCAGTTCCCTCACTGTTCCCTCTGTGGTGATGAGATTCTCAGGAAGGAGACACCTGTATAGTTGCTAAACCAAGCAAATAAAACACTGTTCTTAATAAGAAGCTGCCGTTTTTATTCGTTGTCCTTCGCTGTTTAGTGTCCCTTAGAATCTCGTCAGGTACGTCAGATGATTTAGCGCCACAGACTTTTTAAAGTTTCTTCATTTAAAACATCTGAAAAGTATTTCCAATTCAAAGGAAAGTATTCGTGGCAATCACATGAATAAATTCACAACGCTATTAAAGTGTTTTTATGGAGCATGACTAGAAAAGAAAGTACTCCATTACCCATGAGCACCATTTGTTTATGGAACAAAAAACTCAGGATGTTTAGACCATTGAAACATTTTTTTTAATCCTAAAACAATGATTTAAAATGTTAAATAGTAAAACAGAATGAAAGAGACTTATTTCACGTTACTGATGCAGAGGTCAACTGAGGTAAGCTGAAGTTTGAAAACTAGGATGCATTTATTGATTTTCTTTCTTAAACATTAAGGGCCTTGCTCAAGGGCCCAGGGTGGAGGCAGGTGTTTCACCTTTTCCACCCACATTTTTTGATGTCGGTACAGGGAGTAGGTAGTAGGGTGACCTGCTGATCACAGGTCTAACCTCTGTGCCACCACTCCCCTATTAACAAATTAGCTTTACTTAGCAACCTAATTTTGCAGTAAAACTAGTACTATTTGGGATTTAAATTTTAAATTTTTCACTTTTCTTGCAGCAGGTGGCAAAAGCTCCACAGTCGGAGCAAAGTTCATGTCCGAAGATTTCTTTTTTTTTTTTTCTGAGAAATATTCAACAAGAAAATTCGGAGGCTAACATATTCACGTTTGAGATAATTTAATCAGATATAAGTATATTTATTAATTGATGCGCATGCTGACTGTTGAAAAACGAAAATGTGTTTCCGCCCGGTTTCGAACCGGGGACCTTTCGCGTGTGAGGCGAACGTGATAACCACTACACTACGGAAACCTTGTGAAAGCTTTATCGAACAGCAGCCTGAAAAGTACTACTAAGAGGAAATGACGTACTAACGTTTGTAACTTGGTCATGTTGTCGCAGCGGGTTTATTAAATCGCCATTTGTATCATATTTGCTACATACATTTCCGTGACGTATTTCTTTTCAACATGATCAAAACTCACCCTAACAACCTACTGTATATAATTTGAGACATGTACACTGCCCCCTGCTGGAGCATCATGGCACTGCAGGCAGTGAAACGGCTCACGTTTTTTTTCTGGAAATTCTTTGCCAGTTTTAGAGAAGTTACGGTAAGAATAACATAAATTGTTATTCACTTTTTTAAATTAAGGCTTTATGTTTTGAGACAGTGCACAATTACCTAAAAATGTATTCATTTTATTGCAGTTAAATCGTGTTAACATGTGTGTATCATATGGAAACATACAGTGCTGACATTGTGAAGACATTATTATTATTATTATTATATAAGGTGCTTCATCACTGAACAGTCATGTAACATTTTTGTAAAGTAATCTATGTCATGCCTGCCACAATACAGCCACAAACTATTTTGTTTATATATTATCATTTAATGCAATTTCAAAATTATTATTTTTTGGTTATTTCACTATAACAAATATTCTACAATAGTCTTGGTTATTTTCATCTTTATGGTGTATTGACCAGTTTTTTGTGTACTTTAGATGTCAAACAGTTTAGAGGAAGAGGAGAGGAAAAGAAAGTACATTGAAAATGTCATCAACATGATAGTAGATGGTAATTCAAGTGACTTAGAGCAGCTAGGAGAAGATGATGAGGATGATGATGAGGACTGGACTCCCCAGGTTGTGCAAGATGAAGGAAGTTCAGATAGCAGTGATGAGGAAGAACATCAGGATCAAAGTGTAGCCCAGACAAGCATGGAAGCTGAGGTCCCAACAACAACACTGGACACAGTCAGAAATGAACCAGGGAAGGCCAATGTAAAAAGGAAAGAATACAAATGGAGAAAAATAAAATATTAAGCTCCATCTGTTGATTTCATTGTCAGTCTTGAGGAAGGCACAGATAACAGGTGTGACATGACACCATACAGGTACTTCAAGCAGTTTGTCACAGACGAAATGCTCCAGGAGATTGCAGAACAAACAAACATGTATAGTGTTCAAAAAGAGGGCAAGTCAATAAACACAACTGCAAAAGAGCTGGAGCAGGTTCATGTATTTACATATGGGGCTCGTACAGATGTTCTGTGTGAGCGCCTGTTGGGAGATGGAAACAAAGCTTCCTGCAGTTTGTGATGTGATGTCTAGAGATCGGTTTCTGAAATTGCAGACCCTAATTCACTTTCAGTGCATCTGATGATGCAAAAAAAGACAAACTGTGGAAGCTCAGACCGTAGTTGCAAAAACTACGAGAACAGTTTCTCTGCATTCCCCCTGAAGAATGACATGCTGCTGATGAAATTATGGTCCCGTTCAAGGGAAAGTCTCATCTACGCATCTACGTGCCTGCAGAACCTCACAAATGGGTTTCAAGTTGTGGGGACGTGCTGGACAAAGTGGATTTCTTTATGACTTTGATATTTGCCAAGGTGCAGAAAATCCAACCAGGGAAACGTCTGATGTTGGTGTTACAGGAGAAGTTGTGCTGAAGATGACATCTACACTTCCAGCAGGAAGGAATCACAAGCTCTTTGCTGATAACTACTTTACATCAGTTCCCCTGGTCCAACACCTAAAAGAGAGAGGAATCCATTACATTGGCACAATCCGCATGAACAGGATGAAAGATTGCATCATGAGGGATGAAAAAGAATTGAAGAAGAGTGGAAGAGGGTCAGTGGACTTCAGAGTGAACCAGGACAACAACATAATTGTGAGCTGGTGTGACAACAAAGCTGTGAACCTGATTTCCTCATTTGTTGGCATTGAACCAGTGGGAAATGTGAAACGTTGGGGTCGCAAATCCACAACTCATATAATGGTTCCCAGACCAGCCATTGTTGAAACATATAACAAGTTCATGGGAGGTGTTGATCTCCTTGATATGTGATCTGCACTTTACAAGTTCAGCTTCAGATCCTGAAGATGGTACATGTACATCTGGTGGCACACTGTTACAGTGGCCGTCATCAATGCTTGGAACCTCGACAGAAGAGATCAGCTGAAGCTACAACCCCCCAAAAAAACATGGCTCTGCGAAGGTTCCAGGCTTCGGTTGGCACTTCTCTCACAAGTGCAGGAAAGGTCAAAATCAAGGAAAGGTCAAAATCAAGTGTGGTAGAACTTTCCTCTCCAGCAGCGACTCCAACACCACCCGGTAAAAGACCAAGCTGCAGCGTGCCTCTTCATGTGAGAAACGACGGCATCGATCATTTTCCAACAGGGGAAACCCGACAAAGATGCAAAGCACTGCACTGGCAATCACTTTTCACACGTCTACTGTAAAAAGTGTAAGGTGCATCTTTGCCTGAACAAGGACAGGAACTGTTTTGGTGTCTACCACGCTGTGAAATCAACGGCTGTAAAAAGTTGTATGTGAAAAAAACAACTAACAGAAACATTGCCTGAAGTGTTCAATACTTTCTAAATGTTGTGAGCAACTATTCTAGGAAAAGCCTGCCGTATCAAATGTGATATAAAAATTATAAACAAAATGATATAGCAATGTTTTTTTTTTTTTTTGGACCATGTTTCAAAGCTTAATAAACATCTAAATTCTAAAAAAAATTGAATTTTCTGACTATTTTTTGATGGGTCAGTCTTTAAAGGGTTTTAACAGCAGGGAAACATGAGCACAAATTAATTTCATATTTTTGAATGTTTTTTAAATTTGTAAAATTAATAATTTGTGCATGTGTAGATGGGAATTCATGTGTAAAAAAAAAAAAGAAGTGTATTTGTAAGTATAGAGGCAAAAACTACATGTAAATCTCTTCACGTGAGTTTCATTTTACGCATGTACAAGACACG